GGCAACAACTTTTCATAGAGAGAATTTTTTTTCCATTTTATCAGAAAAATTAAATCTTTTCCAAATGAATTTGCCAAACTTCTTTACTTTGACAGGGTACAAATATCTCTATTCTCTATTGATAGATATAGTTTCAATATTAAATAGTAGGATATCTATTTATTGGGAGATTTTGTATTTATTATGGCAAATTTTTAAGATGAAATTGTTGCCCTTTTTTATAACAAGTGAAATCTCAAGTAAGTGGTTACATAACCGTCTTCTAGCTAATGAAAGGTTGCAACGAAATACTAAAACATCAACACATTTTAGATCACCAAGTGGTTGGGCTTTTTTCGTTTCAACGCTTTTCCTTCTTATTGGTGTTGGTTATCTTGTTATTATAAATCTTGTCTTTGTTTCTCGATCTTTGAGGGAGTTAGATATCAAGTTTAAAAGATTAAAACCTTTTCTAATTCCCTCATATCTAATTGAGTTTCAAAAACTTGTAGATAAATATCCTATGTGTGAATCAAATGGGTTTTGGTTAAATAATATATTTATATTTGGCTTTAACCAATTCGTACGTTTGTTAGAAGGAATCCAAGGTTTTGTTTTCGGTCTCAACAAGATTCATCTTACTTTGAAAGTGAAACCAAGACGTTTGACGAAGAAATCTTTCAATATCCTTGAACAGATAACTGGAATTGCTGTTTCTATAAATAGAAATATGCAATATATCAGTTCTATCAGTCCTACAAGTAAAGAGCTCTATTCATTGATAAGAAAAAGAGAAAACGTGAAGGCGAATTGGATTGATGATCAAATAGAATCCTGGATCGTAAACAGCGATTCAATTCATGAGGAAGAAAGACAATTTTTGGTTCAGCTAGCCACTTTAACAACAGAAAAAAGAATTCCATCGAGTCTGACTGACAGGGATCATTTCTTAAAGAATGACTTAGGTTATCCAATGATTGACCAACCGGGAGCAATTTATTTACGATACTTAATTGACATTCATCAAAAGGATCTAATGAACTATGAGTTTAATAGATCTTTTTTAGCAGAAAGACGCATATTACTTGCTCATTCTCAGACAATGACTTACCCACAAACTTCGTATGCTCATTTAGCATGTCGTGGAAAGCCTTTTTCTCTCCGCTTAGACTTATCCCCCTCTAGAGGTATTTTAGTTCTCGGTTCTATAGGAACTGGACGATCCTATTTGGTCAAATACCTAGCAACAAACTCCTATATGCCTTTCATTACGGTATTTGTGAATAAGTTGCGAGATAAGAGTCGTAAATTTATGACTGATTTCTATATTGATAATAGTATCAATATTAATGCTAGTGACGATATCAATCTGACTAAGAGCGACAATATTGATGACGATAAGAATTTTGACCTTGCTACCGAGCTGGAAATCCTAACTAGGATGAATGCGCTAACTATGGATAAGGAGATGAAGGCTGAAATAGACCGATTATCTATTACCCTTCAATTTGAATTAGCAAGAGCTATGTCTCCTTGCATAATCTGGATTCCAAATATTCATAATCTGGATGTGAATGAGTCAAATTCCTTATCTCTTGGTCTATTAGTTAACCATCTCTCAAAGAATTGTGTAAGAAGTTCTACTAGAAATATTCTTGTTATTGCTTCTACTCATATTCCTCAAAAAGTGGATCCCGCTCTAATAGCTCCGAAAAGGTTGAATACGTGTATTAAATTACGAAGGCTTGTTAATCCACAAAAAAGAAAGTACTTTTTTACTCTTTCATCTACTAGGGGATTTTATTTGGAAAAGAAACTGTTCCATAGTAACGGATTCGGGTCTATAACCATGGGGCCGAATATAGGAGATATTCTAGCACTTACCAATGAGGTTCTATCAATTAGTATTACACAGAAAAAATCCATTATAGACAATAATACAATTAGAGCCGCTCTTCATAGACAAACTTGGGATTTGCAATCACAGTTAAATTTGGTTCAGGATCATGGGATCCTTTTATATCAGATAGGAAGGGCTGTAGCACAAAATTTACTGATAAGTAATTGCCCCGTAGATGCTATATCGATCTATCTGAAGAAGGAATTATGTAATGAGGCGGATTCCTATTTGTACAAATGGTACTTCGAACTTGGAAGGAACATTAAAAAATTTACGATACTTCTTTATCTTTTGAGTTGTTCTGCCGGATCGGTTGCTCAAGATCTTTGGTCTTTCCCCCGAGATGAAAAAAATGGGATCACTTCCTATGCACTCGTTAAGAATGATTCTGATCTAGTTCATGGTTTATTAGAATTATTAAAAGTAGAAGGCTATCTGTTGGGATCAGAACAAAATTATGGATCTTCTTCTATTCTTGATCAGAGATTTCTATATGAAAACTACGAACAGGAGGATTTATTCAGTCACATAGTTTGGGCTCCTAGACTATGGCGTCCTTGGGATTTTCTGTGTAGCGAGCGGATCCTTTATGATCAAGAGGATGAGCTTCAAGAGAATGAT